TAAATGAGTGTGTATCTGCACTGTAAAAAAAAGTATGATTAACTTTAATAACTTCTCTTCTATCTTAATTATTTGGAAAACAGGCCACTGCGGATCACTGGGCTGTGGGCCAGCGGTGCCTCTTCCTTCAAATGAAAACAAAACACTGTTTCTCAAAAGGTGTCAGAGAGAGAGAGGGAAACAGAGAGAGCAAGAGAGTAAAGTAGTGCATTAAGGCTGGGAGTTCATGGCTATGGGCCTGTTGGCCCTTAGAGACAGGCTGTGTGACTCCCGGCTGTGGCTGCCTTATTAAAAGTCTTGCTCTGCACATTCAACACCACTCTCAGGAAAAGTAACTTCAAACTTTCTGGAACAATTTCCATTTCTATTCAGCTGAACAGCAGGGCAAAGCCAAGCCAACTTATAATGTAGACCATTTCCAAGTCTAACTAGCTTACTGTCTAGCTACTGTTAGCGTCACAGTTTTTCTGCTCAACATGTCTACAGGTATAACTTGATGTAACTGAGCTTAGCCAGACACCAGGGAAACTGACTGAGCAACTGTTTGACTATGTGATGTGTTCTGCTGGGTGAAGGAATAATGGATGAGAGGAAGTTGAGCTCAACAACCCACCTCAGCTTGGCTCTCATGAACTGGCAAAGTTACACAGCTACCGGCTGCATTTACCTACTGAGAGAGGGCACCAACACTACACCAACACTGGATGTAGGGTGGTATGACACATCACTATAAATGCTGTAAATGTTGCTTGGGAATTTACAGTCACTGAATCCCCATTAAGTAAATCCCACATAGTCATGCTACAGTCCTATTATTTCCTCAAAGAAAACATTCATGGGTTAAAACAATGTAATATGTCAGAAGAATGAATTATAATATTGTGATATGCTAGTTTTAAACTATGCTGTCATGTTACATGTTATATTAAATCTACAGTGTGTTTACAACATAAAAGATCTCCACTCAGTCTTCACACTCCTTGAGAAAAACAGCACCTACATTACAGGTTTCCTGTCTGTCAAAGAATTGATTTCAAAATATACTGTTGGTTTATAAAGCATTGAATGGTCTAGGACCAATATACATTTCTGATCTTCTGTTACATTGTGAACCATCCACACCTCTCAGTTCGTCTGGGAAAAGGTCTGCTTTCTGTCTCCAGAGTCAAAACTAAACATGGAGAAGCAGCGTTCAGTTTTTATGCTCTGTAAACCTGGAACAAACTCCCAGAAAACTGAAGGGCTGCTGAAACTGTCAATTGTTTTATATCCAGACTGAAGACATTTCTTTTTACCACACAGCCTCTAATTAAATCAGATTAATAGCCTGCACTGCACTGTAGCGTTTACTGTCCTGTTTTATCCTGTTATTATTTTCTATTTGACTCTTTTAAAAATGTTATTTTAATGTCTTTTTTGTGTTTCCCTATGTTGCTTTTATGTTTTATGAAAAGCACTTTGAATTACCTTGTTGTTGAAACTTTCCTTGCCTTACATCATTATTCTGTCTGTTGATTTCAGCTTAGCATTCAACACAATCTCCCCCATGAAACTGATCGGCACACTTAGCACTCGGCTTGAGTACCACCACCTCTGCAGCTGAACACTGGAGTTCCTCTCGCTGTCCACCCACGACTGCATCCCCCTAAATGGAGAGAACTCTGTTGTGAAGTTTGCGGACGACACCACCATCATCGGACAGATTTCAAACTACGATGAGACTTCATATCGAGAGGTGATGCGCAGACAACAACCTACTGCTCAAGGTCAGCAAAACCAAAGAGATGATCATTGATTTTAGGGAAAAGAAGGTGAAAACACACTCCAGTCTACATCAGTGGAGCAGGTGACCAGTTTGGGAAGAACCTCCACACTGGTGAAGAAAGCTAAGAAACGGCTGTATTTGTTAAGGAAAATTAAGAAGGTTAAATTCCAGTGCCAACTTTTACATAAGAGCAATAGAAAGCATCCTGAATGGAAACATCACAAACTGGCATGGGATGTGCACAGCCCAGGACAGGAGGGCTCCGCAGCGGGTGAATAAAACTACTCAGAAGATCATTGGTACCCAACTCAGTGATCTCGGTGAGGTGAGGTGTCTACGCAGAGCCCAAAGGATACTAAAGGACAGTCCCCACCCAGCAAAAGCCTGTTCACCCTGCTGCCTTCTGGGAAGAGAAACAGTAGTATCTGCTGTCATACCACCAGACTCCAGAGCAGCTTCTTTCCTAACGCTGTGAGACTCTTTTAATTCATCCTCAGCACTCCACCATGTTAAATTGCTTTGTTTCTGTATAAAATTTTTATAATTTTGTATATAATGTTTGCTTTTTGTGAAGCAAAATTGAACTACAAACGTCATCTTTTTATACAACCCTGTGTTGTAAACATTGATATAACAAGTTGCTCTTCTATTTTTTTGAAGTTAAACTATTTAAAAACCTGAGAACATGAGAGTTTAATCGCTAAGCTTAGGTTTGGAGAGGTCACATTAGTCCACGCAACTAATGCATGCGCAGTGACAGTCAACCATAATTGGTCCCTTGCGAGTTGATTAATATGCATTCCCACTCTATAAAAATGGCCTTTCTTAGAGAGGCTCCAGAGAGTTAATTAAACCGATGCCATTTTGGAGTGCCAGGGATTCAAGGATAAAACTACCTTATGAGAGGGGGCGCTTGTGGATGGATAACTGCACTGTCCTTTCATCAATGAAATTAACCCTCTCTGACCAGCATTTACCCAGTAAGGTTTACAAGTTGAACCTGAACCCTGAAATGTTCTGCAGGTGTAGTGATAGTGAGTGTGAACATTATAAATAAATGAATGGGCAGCTGCAGAGAAAGGTCACACTGAATATGGTATTTAAAGAGAAAAATCACCCCGGGTAACATTTTCATTCAGCTGTGATCACACATTCAACACTGAAATGCAAACAGCAGCAGTGTGTTGTTTGTTATTAACAGAGAGAACAAGAGGTTAACGGTCACTATGCTACTGTAAATAATGTGCTACTAAAGATAGAAATGGACAAAAAAAGTAATTTATCTTTAAGATAGTCAAACAGAAGACGTTGCTAAAATCAAAATTACTCATCAGAAAGATGCATAAGATAAGACTTTGTGCAAGTTGACTATGTGATATTATGTAAGGAAAACTCTCAACAGGTCTCCAGAAAGGAATAAAAATAGTTTGATAAATAATTTACACAGGCTTTAATTCAAGTTCTCTAACATCATCCACTGACTCCTGGTTGAAATGTACGGTGCTTAAGGAGCAGTGTGAGTGTGTGTCCGTGATTTGACCTCTCCTAAAGCCAATCTGCTGTAAACAGTCAGGCCACAGATGGCCACTTATTCCCACACTGATGAATCAAAAATGAAGGATTTTTAGGGCTTTGAAGAGGTAGAACATTTATATGAAATCATAAAACACAAACTAACAGCATTTGTGCTTTTAGCTGTACACTGTCAAATGGTCAGTGATTGGTCAGTGAAGCAGCAAATGATAGTGAGGAATCACTCAGAGGTTCTGTCCCTGCGGCCCTGCGTCTCAGGGGGATGGTAGGGAAGGCACCCACGGGGGGAGAAGCCCAAGGGAGGTGGTGGAGGTGGGTTAATCTCCCGTCCCAGTGCTTTCAATAACTGCAAGTCAGAGCTGGCTGTCTTCACCATTATGTGTGAATTTTTTGCACGTCTTTAAATCTTCCCCTCATGTCAAGTCTTAAAGCTGATATATCATCAGAGGCCAGGCTGTAAGTCCTGGTTGACGTGCACAGATGCAGCTCTGGTGATGTACTGCTCCCCCAAGAACAGCCAGCGCAGTAGCTCAGTCCCATTTAACAAAAAGTACAAGACCAAGACAGAAACAAAACAGGACTTGGAGTTGGGACCCACTTTTTCGTCAGCCAAACTACTCAACTGACCGGTTTTAGCTGCCAGAAACAAGATTAATCTCAGTAGCAAAAAAGAACAACATACTGTAGCGACTCAGCGTTCTTGTAAATCAATGGCTAAAGAGACAAAGTCACCAAAGGTTTTTTTTCTTTTTTTTGGCAACACGGCTTTCACAAATAGGTTCAACTTCAGTTTACAACTCCCAGGCAACCAGTATCACGACCTGAATTGTTTGTCAGGTGGCAACAAAACTTTGAAACAAGAACATCAGTACTTTGGAAGAAGAGTGAATGCAAGGGCAACCCGAGGAAGTTGTTAAAAACTCCATGGGGTGTTTTGCCTGCCGGATTTTACTGACTTGTTGATAGATTTTGTTAATTTGTTCAGCTGTCCTTAATTTTTGTGCTTCTATCATGATTAGGTAGGCTACATAGTTAAAATGTTTATTTTTTGTCTGTTTTAACTGTGTGTTTTATTGTTGATCAGTCTGCACAGGGTGTTTTATTTTGAAAATCGACCAGGATTCCTATGCTGTTCTGTGTCTGACTTCCTGCCCGGTTTATCTGCTCTGTAGTGCTTGACGCAGCTTAGCATTGAAGCCTGAATGGTCCAAACGTCATAAGACATTAAAAATAGGTGTGTTAACTGTATTTTCTGTTGTCTTAAGACAAACAAATCTGACATATTAATGCAGACGTCAAATTAGTTTAATCTGCATTCCATAACTTAGCAGCACAAAGAACTAATATATTCACTTTAATTCTCATTGGCAGACTGGGATCCATCATGCCAAATAAGGAATCTGCTACTTAGATAATCCAAGCTAGAAATCAACTACATTTGAAGGGTTTTGAAATTCACATTGCTCAAGTCCTACCACATTGTAGGACTTGAGCCTGTCATTAAACCACATGTTGTGTCTGTAACCCATTACTTTGACTCCTGCTTGACATTTTTTACAGCTTTCTGGGGTCCTCCAGCATATTAGCATATGATTACGGATAAGGTAGGACCACTGTGTAGTTGTCAGTGCTGCACCTGTTATATAAATCCCCTGGTAACAGTCAACCACAATACACCTGTTTGAAAAGAGGATGAACTCACCTTTGGTTGAGGAGAAAGACCCATACAAATATCAGGACAGGTTGACATTTATCATACCAGAGCCCCACTTGAGATGCTAAACCTGAAAAAACAAGAGTGAAAGACATTCAGAGTTAGTAAAAGCTGAAAATGCTGCACGAAGACTGGAAACAGCTAGCCTGGCTCTGTCCAAAAGGAAGCAGGACCAGTAACTTCTCGGAGTCTCTGATGGTCCAGGTCATAAAAAAGTCATGTATATAACCCCCCTGTAATATGGCAAATTGACAGGGGGTTTTGTACGGATTAAACAAACAACATATAACGTGTTAATTAGTGAGCTTTAGAGGTGCTTGTATGTGGATTATGTTCCCTTTGGACTAAGCCAGGCTAGAAAACTACAATAGGAATTCAATCCAGCAATCAAGCTGGAGGCGGGTTTATACTAGCCAGGGAGTGAATTTGGACAGAACAGTGCATTTAAATCTGTGTGTATGGAATATACTGAGCATAGAGAATGCCAGTGGGGAATTGGATTGAGCTGCAGGTGTGGTTTGAGAGGTTGTTTTTGCTGTGAAAACTTGTCACAACAGGATTACTTTTGCAGTGAACTGAATGGAATCTATCTCTTTAATGCAATGAAGCCCGATCATTTTTTCCGATTGGCTAAAAGCAGGTTTCACTGCACATTTTACAAACTGAAAGCTGCTGAGGTAAACCCTTCAAGGCAGTTTCTCTGGCCAGACATATTACATTAATAAAAACATATTGACAAGCTGTGGTTACACAAGAAGCTCCAGCATATCAGAGGTTGACAGTATTGACTGGCAGCTATAAATTGTATAATTTAACAGTATCAGTCTGCCACTAGCCTGAATAAGAAATATGTTGGAGAACCTTTGTGGTAAAATAGACACCCAGCATGGAGAGTAGGAGTGGTAAACAACAGAGAAGTTCCTGAATAAAAGCAATGGTACATGGGGACAGCAACAGAGCCAGACAGCAGCATGGGGTGGTCCTAATATGTCCTATTTGGTCAGGGAGCGAGACCGCAACAAGATACTGACAGAGAGAATACTGCTGCATCCTGCTGAGTACCTGACATTCCTCTCCCTCTACCCATTCTGAGCTCTTCAATATAATGTCTCGCACTACTATAAATGTGTTATCTGACCATAACAACTAACATGTGATGGGTAGAATCCTCGAACAGTGTGACAAGTGTTCCCTTCATTTGTTTGAGCAGTGTATAACGAAGCATCAAGTCATCCTCAGCTTAGAATAAAAACCTGTGACTGTGACTCACAAGAAAACTGTCCGTTTGTTAGAGCAGTGGTTCTCAAGCATTTTTACGTCAAGGACCCCTAAACTGACACATATTAGAAAAAGAACCCCCACTTGATAAGATAATGTCCCCGGGTTAGGATTTTAGATGTTTTATTGTAGAAAATATATGAAACATATGACCAAAATAGTCATGACATCCTGTCATGGTGTATGTATGGATAGAATTATTGTGAAAATAAACAGTTCCCTGGGAACCCCCTCAAGGACGCCTTGAGAACCACAGTGTTTAGTTCCACTAAACACTGTTTATTGTACATAATGTGAGATCTAAGTTTAAATTGTAAAAATCAGCTCAACACACGTAGGCTCACTGAATAATTCTCTCTATCACTCATGAAGTCATTGGTGGCACCTATGAAACGTAATTCCTCTCATATTGGAGATAATTATTCAGATAATTATTCAGGGGCGGCTGATCAGCGGTTCAAAGTAAAGTGTCCATGGGCAAGATACCCGACCCCAAATTGCCCTTGGTGGCTGTTTCACCAGTGTATAAATGTGTGTAAATGAATGTGATATAGTGTAAAAGCGCTTTGAGTGGTCGCAGACTAGAAAGGCGCTATACAAATACGGAGCATTTACATTTACATTATTATTATAGACATCATATGCCAGTATTTCTGAGAGAACAGGATCGTGGTGCAGGTGCAGAATCAAGCATAGCATTAGTTCAGGCAGGCAACAAAATCAAGCTCAGCTCATTCCAGCATATCAGGTTAAGCAGCACATCAGATGACAGATCAGCTGATCCTAGCATTCATTGGCAAATTCCACACAATACGCCTGTTTAAGCTGCCGTAGCCTACCTGCCTGCCCTCGCTGCTTCCTATGCAAACAGCTCATAACCCACCACCACCCCAGCTCCTGCTTTCAGGACATATCTGATAGGGATGCACGATAATTATCGATCCGATAAGCATTGGCTTATCTCATTATCGGAAGCATATCGGGAAATGAATTTGCCAAACATAACTACAAAGCCGCATATCAGTCTTTGTTGAAAGTTGTCCAGACTGAAATGTAGTTAGAAAGTGAGTTTTTTTTTTATGTATTAGAGCAGAACCATATACAAAAAACAAAATCACATAGCAATTTTTTTAACAGATACTTAACTGCAATAAGAGTTAGTTAGTAGGAATAATTGTTCAGCCCTTCTGTGTATATTCTCAGCCTTTTATTTACCTGTTGCATTGGTAAATCTTAGTATCAGAGCTCGGTTGACGATGGCTTTTTCATTCACCATGCATGCCTTTAACTGAACAAACTTAGAGTTAATTGAATTGATGGATTAGCTGCTCTGGGACTGAAAACTCAGAGTTTCCAATCCCAGGGTTAGTCAACTCAAGAGTTCAGGGTTAGGCTCAGAGTTTGTTAAACCTGCTTTCCGAAACTGACTCCAGTAGCCCCGAGAGCTCAATGTACTGCAACTAAACAAAACACAAGTGAATAAATAGAACACAACCAAAGAAGAAATCGTCATCAAACTTCAACTATTTGACAACGCATGTTAAGCATGACAAAACAGGCTGCTGTGTATAGAAAACACAGCCAAATACAGAAACACAGATTGCTTTACATAATGTTTTTGTTGACTCTATTTACTTGTGCTGTTATCTATATCTTAGGCACATTTCTGTATTTGTTTGCGTTATCTGAATCTTAGGCACATTTCTGTACTATTCTCTAATGTAGGTCCTGTCTATACAACTTCTACAAAGTCAGATGAAATAGTTATAAATTTTCTGGTGCACTGCAGAGAAAGAAAAGCATACCCCAAAACAAATTTTCACCGAATAACAAAAACCTGTCTTGTTGAGAATGTGACGACATTTACAATTCCTGGGAGGCCTGCAAAGGAAAACTGACAGGAGTGCTTGCAAGCGGCGGCCTCATTCACTGGTATTGCTCATTCTGCAGGATCTTTTATGTGACACCATTACAGCTGAAGCTTTTTTCTTTATTTTTTTTTGTTTTTTTACAAAAGGAGTGATTCAATGCTTTATGAAAAGAACAAAAAAAAATTAGTTCTACAGCGAAAGCAAATACAGACTTAAACTTCCTTTTCAAGAGCCCCGAGGGGCAGATTAGTTAGAAACAACGGCATCATAGAAAATGGATCCAACAATCAGCGGCAGCATTGAGCTGAGTCATAATTTATTACCCGCGCACGCTGCACAGTAGTGTCTGCTATTCTGTGAGAGACACACTGGGCATCAGACTCAGATGCAAGAAACCGGAGTTGGGAAAACGATCGCATTACAGCATTGTTTGGCTTCTATAAAAGGACATGACGTGTTTGACTGTAGCACTGTGGTGTTTAATTGTGGGGAGGGTTTTCTTTTTGTTGTTAATGGAGAAGGGTCTGATACTCATGTTTCATTACCCTGGAATCACTGCCTTCTGCAGATACAAAGGAGCAGCTTGCTATCAAAACAGCTTGCTATCAGCCTTCATATCATCTGAAATCACATGAGTATTATGAGGTCCTCGTAGTACTCTGATTTTAATGAGCAAAACTACATCCACACACGCAAGCCTTAGACTTAAGAGAAGAGTAGGAAACATGATTCTGTTTTTTCCTGACTTGAAGTGGTCAACAAAACTCACCCCTACTGTCTCTTTTTTCTGTCTGTCTCTCCCTCCCACACCCACACACAGCAGTCAGAGGCACAGAGCTTCCATAAATAGAATGGAAAGTAGGCAAGTGGCTGCTGGGAGTGGCTTTTACTGGGAATATGATCGATTAAAAAGCAATTTGCTCCTCCGCTCAGGCCCTGCACTCCTAAATGACAACCCCCCACGGTCCAGATGGAGCTCTAAGGGGTCGGAGAAGCTGGCCTGCCCCGCCCGCTCCTCCATCTCCAGCAGCCAGACCCAGTCCGCACACATAGATGCACACACACAAAGCCTCCACTCCCAAACCCAAGCCTCTGTCACAGTCTGGTAGGCACCTGAAAAGCCATCAGGCAGAAACATCAGGGCAGCCCCTGCTGGTTTGACTGAAAATCTAGACTTTGTTCTAACATGCAGTGTATTTGAGAAAGCTGACATAGAGAAGAGAGGGCATGTTAAAGCAAACAGGAAATATAACGGCGCACAGCACAAACTCAGACAAGGCACGGATTTGATTCAGTATTCTCTGTCAGGATGCACTGGACCAACACACCTATACTGCCACAATAGCAAAATACACAGACACAACTATAATATGCTAACATTGGTTACGGAAAACCATATATTCTGGATTTCAAATATGTTTGTCAGCACTGTCTTGGCATTGACATCTCTGGTGCTTATATTCTTGAAAAATGGCATCTTCTGCTGGTTTACACAGTTAGATAAGAAGATACGTCATCAGGGATTATATCATTGTGTGATAGTGAACTATCACAGGACCATATGGACCCTGACTGTACAGTTGGGCTTGCTGCATGTTGGCTTTTTGTGAGACTTGCAAATTAGTGATTACACGGTCACTGATGATAACCAAAATGATCTGTGTTTCCCAGGATTGTGGACAGGTTGAGTAAAAACTGAAAAATTCTAGGGTGATACAACTTATAGAAAATCAGATAATTAGCTCTTACACCCAAAGAAATCATCCCTAAGCTGATTTCTTCCCACTACAGTGCAGTTACTGCACATCCTGCAAGAGAAGTTTCAGTTTGTTATTAGTTTCATAGCTGTGGCTAAGAAATTCTTATCGTTTAATGGTAGAAATTTCACATCCAGATCCATCAACAGGGGTTCCACTGCAAG